ATATTTTATAAAGATAATAATTAAGTATTCTGTTAGAGCTTAATGATTATCCTAATTATATTTTAGATTTTTTATATTTAAAATGAGATATTTATCATGTATTTGATTGTGTTTATTTGCAGTTAGTTACACGAATTCAGATATGAGATAAAATCGGATAGGGATGAACGGGTTTAAAAGTTTAAGAGTTTTTAAGAGTTTTAGTCAAATGCTTTATAATATAGTATAGATTTAAAAATACATTTATTTATAAAATTATTTAAATTTTCGGGCCGGGCCATGGCCGGTCCCATAACCACAAAACTACCAAAAACCCCAGTCGGTCCCATAACCACAAAACTACTAAAAGCCCCAACCGGTCCCATAACCGGTCCTCCGGCCCGGGCCGATTTGGCCATCACTAGTTGTGACGAAGACAATAGTAGTGACGGTGTAACAGTGGTTGGGACAAGGGGCGGGTGGTGTTGGTTAAATTGGATGTAAAGAAATGAAATTTAATTCCTTCAGTTATACCAAAAAAATGGTTAATTCTTTAATTTGTGGAATTAAAAGATTCTACGTTTTCATTATATGAACCAACACATGAGATCTGGAATTTAGTCAAAAGAATTATCCATTCAAATTTGTTCATAATCCATGAACCAAACACTGTGTAGGAGTAAGAGTCGTCGACCTCACTTACCGGGTAATACTCTTCATTCTTCTCATTGCTCTTACTCAGTAAGATTCTTGGCCCTTTTCATGTTCATCCAATGAGGAAATTTATGCGTTAAACACTTACTAAGGAAGTGTTTAGTAAACGATCCCTAACTCAATTAGTTGTTATCGTTAAGTATAATAGCAAAAACAATAATTAAAAGAAATAATTAAAAATAATAATTATAAACCATAAAGATAAAAAAAACAATGAAGTGTAAATTATAGGGATAAAAACTGTAATTATAAAAGTATGGAGACGAAATAGCAATTTTCAACAAATCAGGGGCTAAAAACGTAGTTTACTCAAAAGTATAAAATAAACAGTCAATGTAAAAGGAAAAATGGGAGAGAATGACAACTTCAACACGGTATTAAAACGACGACGCTTAGTACATCTCACCAAATTGAGGGAAGAAGGTTCGTTTATGTTGCGTAAAAGCAGCCATTGACGAGGGATTAAGCAAGATCACCGAATCCACCGTGTCGGTGGAATCGCTCGATCAAACTACCACCACCGGAGAGACAAAAGCACATGATTATCATACATTGTTAGAATTCGTTCAGCTTGAGACGACTGATCAATCGAAATGGGGGAAGGAGGGAGTCTTCCGACGATGGATCTGATGAGATCAGAGCCAATGCAGTTGGCTCGGATCATCATCCCCATGGAATCTGCTCATCGAACCATTTCGTATCTCGGTGATCTGGGGCTTTTCCAGTTTAAAGATGTATGTTACTACTACTACTACACGTTTCATTGTTATACATGATTATATTTACGATCATCATAATTCGTTGAGTTTACCTGTTTAATGTTTATCAATCTAATTAATCGGCATTGTGAATTATTTTCAGTTTTCCGAAATCTTTGGAGTTACGAACTCATCTAGCTTATAATTTTTAAGTAGTCTATCTTTAATATCGACTCAAGAGATATGATCTCGCATTTTTTTGACATGCTGTTTGAATCATTCTGAACAGCTAGTCTAGTTTGATAATTACTTACAAACATACCTTGATGCATCACCTACTGTGCTACGTATGCCTCATCTAATGTATATGTGAGTATGTTGTTGGGGAATTAGGTCTTGTCAGAAATCACACCAAGGACTCATAAATAACATGAGATACCGTAAGAGATCGTTTATGAAATTTGCTTGAGATAATCTCAATTCACACCCACGATTTTGGGAAATATCTTGAGGAAAATTGTAAAAGTTCTTACAGAATAGACCTACAAAGGGATATGATTAATGGAATTTATAAGCAATTATTGGGAAGTCATGAGAGGTTATAAACCGTTCCATAGCAGTTATGAACAAATTCATCGGTAGGTGAACCCCGTCTGTGGGTAATATTGATCAGCATCATCCACTGATCCCTGCCACTGATGACACAAACTGAAGTACTGAAAAATAACCACTGAAATCCACCTGACATAGAAATTCACCTAACCACTCAATCACCGCCAGGGGCACTGCCCCTAGGACCCGCAGGGAGGCATGTCCCGCTTGACCACTGCAATATGGCGACATCCAGCAATCCCGATTTGTAGCTAGATTATGCTAGTAACAACTGTGCACTCCGCACCTCCTAACTCTTATTTTAGCTTAACTATCAACCCTTCCATTCTCTTGCGAATCCAATTCCAAATAATGGCATGATGATTCACCGAAATCACCAACATACGTGACATTCTATTGTTAATGGTGTTTATACATTAATTCCAATCATGATTATAGAAAATTCATTTCTTTGGAAATCTTGTTTAGTTAAGACTAGTGTCTGGATCTTTCATTTGATCATCTATTCATCTTACTGTTCTTTATTAACATCAACAAGGAGCATTTTATATGATAGAGTATTGCTTATTTTTCAGATGTTCTATACATTTTTTAACAATTTATTATTGCAGATCCTTTTTAGAATATAAATTTAGTTTTTTAGAAAATTATAACTTATAAGAATATGTTGATATTGTTCTACTGTTTTTTTTTACATAAATTCTGATATGATGTTAAGCTAAAAAATGGATTGTGAATTTGCATGGAAACAGTACTGTGTGGCTTGGGCCACAGCCCAGGTCACGGGATCACTGTTTCTCTTGTTGTGATATGGTTATATCACATTTGATGCTGCATAAGAAACAGACTCAGAGATAAAGGACAGAAAGTCCCGCGCCCCAGGTCGCGGGACTCACTGTTTCTCTTCCCGCAGCTGCTCTGGAGTCTATACCTGCATGGCTTCCCGCGCAACTCACTGGAGCTCGACCAACAGAACAGTGTTTCCCTTGATTTTCACTGCAACTTAGGTCGTGGGAGAAGTCACCCGTGTCCTTCTTGGGCTGCGATAGATTTGCAAGCCTTTCTGTACTCATGGAATGCAATGCTTCCTTGTCCTTGTGGTACTTAAATAGATTTGCTGGCCATTTCTCTAGTGAGACTTCTCACTTTATGCTTCTACCAACACTCAAGATCCTCTCCTTTCTACTTTTCTCTTTAGAGCTAGTTTGCCATTTATGGTATATGTGTAGTTGAAGGTGTTCTTGACATTTGAATAAGCTTTGGGTTGATCATGGATCTAAGGATCTTTGTACAAGCACTTTGTAATCTCCTTGGTGGTAATAAAATCTTGCTCTCTCTCTCTTTGGTGGATGTACATTATCACATCGATAGTGGAACCACGTTAAATCCTTGTGTTATTTGTTTGTGGAGTTGTTATATGCATAGATCCTAGTATATATATTTGTTATCATTGTGGGTAGTTTATCTTTGCAGGATGTTATGCAACATCTAGATTATTGTTATCCGCATTTCTTGTTGGGTTGGTTGTGCTCTTGAATTTCTATTAGTTTGGTACCCTAGAAATCACTTGTTAACTTTGCATCAGTGGGACAACCATCCTTGCATATCAGAGGTGGTATGTAATGTGTTGTGCTCGGCAACCTTCAGTTTGATTTACTGATAGCTTGTGGTTATTTACTATCTTTTTAAGAAGACCCAAGATGCTTTTTGTGAGGTGGTGAAACTTTTGCATCCTGTCCATTGTCATACCCCTGATAATTCCCTGGGCAGGTGTGAGATCCGAACTCGGGACCTCTAGTTTACAATCGGATTTCTATCTTGCATCTGTTGCTGAATTAGATATAAGAGGATTAACAACTTTAGGGTGGATGTATTTAGTGAACCAACTGTAATCAGTAAATTAGTTTTAACTGATGAAATACATAAGAAGACTCATCTTTTAATCTGTTTCTTTAAGCATGCGATGGTTGCTTAGTACACAATAGTATATAACTCAAATAGTTCATGTATCTTTACCATATATTTGTAATCAGGAATACATTGTTCTGAATGTATCATTTTCTTTTATCTATTTTTTTTATCTGGATAGCTCAACACAGGAAAGAGCCCATTCCAGAGGACATTTGCTACTCAGGTATGTTCATTGTCTGTTACCTCCATTATCTAGGACCTGTCATTTTCACTTTACCTGTATGATGTGATTTTTTATCGTTATATTCTTTCGTGATGTTTCTCTATGTGGACAGTGTATGTGTTGACATGTTAGGAATGAGTCTACTGCTGTCTCTTTGATGCTCATTCATAAAAACATCTTGGTGTGAACATACAGTAAAATTCATGTCTGGATGATATCTATGGGAGTGTAAATTACGAAATTGAGTATGTAAACAGAGTACCAAATACACATATACGTAAAATTATAAAATCATGGCAATTCACTGGACAGGAAAAGAGGTCTAACTGTAGCATGATGATATGATTGATAAGCTTATATCACTAGATGCTAACTGCTAAGACACCTATGACTTACCAATGAGGTCTTATACCTGAATCAGAGGTGTATTTCTTTGCTGCATTAACTTATAGTTTGATTGTGCCTAGCCTACCTACTGCTGCATACAAAATATCCTAGAGGTAGATGTAGCATAGCTACTTGTAAATGGCTAATCAGTTAGTAGTAATTAAAATTGATACAATTTGCATCCTCACAAGTTGATGAAGGTCAACAGTATTGCAAATGCACCTGAATGCCTAAATGGAGGCCGGTTCAACAGAAATTGGTTTAATAAGATTTCTCGACCCTTATATTAAACTGGAGGTCAATTCTGTTTCAACCTTTGCTAGACTCCAAAATTTCCGTTTGTGACTAACTTGAAAAATATCATACATGACCATGCATTATCCTTTGATTTCATCTACTACCGCTAGATTCAGGAAAAATGCCCCTTATAAAGCCTGATTGACAAATTATAAGATGCAAACTATTGAATATATGCCATACAACAAATCTTGGCCCTCTCTCTCTGTGTGTATGTATCCTGGCTCTAGTTGTTAGTCTATCTTTGTGCTTATTGGTGTAAGATGGCTGGCCATTTCTGCAACCGACACCCATAATTCTGTCCTTCCCATATCTCTAGATTTGGCTCTAATAAATACTTCTCTTCTTTGATGAGAGGAGCATGGAGATGATAGTTCTGTTGCTTGGTAGCAGCTAAACTTACAAACACGTAAAATTGAAGAAACATATTTTTTCTTATTATCTATGCAGAAAGGGTTATCGAGAAAACATACCAATTGAAACTTAATACTATCTCTCCAATTGAAAGCTGACACTAGGCTTAATGATTCATTCTGTCACCCTTTTCTCCTTTTTGCCCTCATTTGAAATATCTATTGTTTGCTTCATGCTATAAACTTGCCTGATATAGATTAAAAGGTGTGGCGAGATGGCACGCAAGCTCCGTTTTTTCAGGGATCAGATGATGAAGGCTTGTCTGTTAGCCTCAACAAGATCTGGATATGGCTCAGAATTTAGTCTAGATGAACTGGAGGTAAGTAAAATGACTAACAAGCATTCAATACTTATCATGTTATAACTTCCTTGTAACATGTATTGGGGTGATTGTTAGGTTAAACTCGGAGAACTTGAAACTGAGCTGACAGAGATGAATGCGAACACTGAAAAGTTGCAGCGTACCTATAATGAACTTCTGGAATATAAACTTGTCTTGCAAAAGGTGATCAGACTAATTGATATAATTGTCTATTTGTTTGTTTGTTGATTCATCCTTATATGTTATGCAACATTGCAAACCTCTCAAGTTCCATAACATGTTTAAGGTTAGAGAACGTTGTTTATTTATTTCAGGCTGGTGAGTTTTTCCATCATGCTCAAAGCAGTGCTACCGCTCAACAGAGAGAATTCGAAGAACATCGCCTGGCTGAAGGGTCAATGGACAGTCCTCTGTTATTAGAACAAGTACTGATTTTTATCTGGTGCTACATGCTGGTATGTGTTGCTATATATCTTCGATTGGGTTGTGTGATAACATGTTTGGCTTCCCCTGCCCTCACCTTGTAGGAAATGACAACCGATATGTCAAAGCAAGTTAAGCTGGGATTTATATCTGGTCTTGTCCCAAGAGATAAATCAATGGCCTTTGAAAGGATTCTATTTCGTGCAACCAGGGGTAACGTTCTCATGAAGCAAAATGTTGTTGAAGAACCTGTCAGTGATCCTGTGCAAGGAGAGAAGGTTAAAATTCAAGTTTATTTTACATCATTGTAAATCATCTGGGCTACATGATAAGAGTTTCTAAAGTTAAACTAGTACTATAACTCTTATCTTTTGTTTTTTTCTTACAAACATGGCCTCACTGCAACATCTATTATGATTCCTTTTTACTATAATCCATGAATATTCTCTCTTCGAAAAAAGTGCATGTATTTTTGTATGTTATGACATGATTATCAGCATCTATGTAATATATCTTTCCTTCAGTTCATGAGAAGTTGGTATGCACTAATTTACAGGTGGAGAAAAATGTGTTCATCGTCTTTTATTCTGGAGAAAGGGCGAAGAACAAGGTTTTGAAGATATGCGATGCATTTGGAGCAAATCGTTATCCCTTTACAGATGATATAGGAAAACGATACCAAATGATTACAGAGGTATGCACATTACCAAGATGAGAATTTGTTCACTCTACATAGTTTGTGTTATCAAAAAACTATGTGATGAACTCATGATTTGTAGCTTTGATGGACTTAACTAGCTTTATTCATATTTTTATTCGTTCCTATACTGAAAAAGAGATAATAAAGTAATGAACTTCTGCATTCTATGTGTTCGTTGTTGTCTTTCATCAAAATTTACTTTTCCACACATGAGCATGGTATCTAGAAGTGTACCATATTCATGTCTGTTAGCTAGTGCAGATTCACATACCCACAATTGAAACAAAACATTAATAAACCAATTTAACTTGACCCAACAAAGCATATTAAGGCTGATGAGGTTGATGTAATTGTATTTTAAGTTATTAAATCTATCAAAGTGGAGATAAAAAGGACCCGTCACTTTATGGGCTCATGATGTACACCTCACTCATGGTAGCATGAGGTTAACCTGTTTTTACTTCAGATCTTAGATGTTGATCGTAGAGGTTTTAGATGAGGTGATTTGGGACTGCAGATAAAGACTCTATGTGGACAAGACAAGAAGAGCATTCATGGAAATCATGAGAAAATTACTATTATGATCTAAAGTTTATTATTAGGAAGAGATTGCAGGTGATGTATGTTTGCAAATTCTGGTCCATGAGACAACCTCTTTGTAAAACACAAGGGAGCAATTGGGATCTAGCCAATAGAGTGACCATAAGTTGACTGTGTGAGCATGGTTTTAAGGCTGAAATTTTCCAATAATAGCTGTTATTTCTCTATATCTACATTCTTTTCATTCCCCCGTTTCCTCTTTATTTCTGAATGCCAACCTTCATAACTCTAAGTAGGATCTTGGGATAACTACTCAAAAGTGAATTTAATCAGAGGAACTATCCAATTTAAGAGTTTTAGTGCATGGGGTGCAAATAGGATTTCAAATATAGTTAGAAATATTATGGAATAAGGATATATAAAGCCTATAGAAGTATGTGTCAATTACATGCATTCACCTTCAGGAATCATCTTAGTTGGCCTACAGTATGTATCAATTCTATATAATTGTAATCTGAAAACACTTGAATTGGAAGTTTGAGTGAGATGTAGTAAAACTTGATTCTCTTGTGTAGGAAACAGCACATGCTGAAAGACACTTCAAGCAAAATTATTAGGCACATCACGATTCATGCTTTAACCCCAAAGGGAGAGATTGCCAGGTCCGCTGTGCAATAATTCAGATCACCTCTATATAAACTGTCATAAATAATTGCTAAGCTATCAGATAGAAAAGTAAACTATATTTACTGAAGTCCTAGTAATTTGTTCCAAGTGCTGCCTGTTGTGTTCTAAAATAATCGCAAGCATATGGTGTCATAGCAGCGGCCGAAAACAGAGAGGCGATGGTCTAAACACTAATCTTATAAGCTTAACTTAAAAATTGTAAGAGAGGGGATAGAAATACTCTGGGTTGTGATTCCAGTCAAATCTTATAAGCTTCAAAGGTTACAAAATAAACCAAACAACATCTCTTTCCATTTGTAAAAGAATAAGAACAAAGAGGAGAGAAAAAAAATCCAAACCCTAATTATGAAAGCTGTAAAATGATCAAAAGATGATTTTCGAAACACTGAATGTTTCTATTTATATCATCAGATTGCAATATCCTAAATTGCCTCTCCTGTATCTGAAATTCTTTTCTGTCAGGCTCACTTGTATGGCCGTGTGATTGGGCATGCTTTTCCTGCTATTGATCTCAGATCTGCACAGCTGTGTCATTTTTGTGCTTTAATCCCACACGGCCGCATGGGGCTTCTATGCTGCTTGGCCCATGTTTTGGGGTTATTGATCTAGCCCAATTTGTTTAGTGTACCCAATCTTCCAAAGGGCAATCCATCTTCATCCATGACTACCATATTAATTAAATTATCCTGTCAAAACTCATGCACAATCATAAAAATACCAAAACACATCTCTGACTATGATTAAATGAAAATTAATGGAAAACTAAAAAAAGAAGCATTCAAATGAACGAACTACATGTGAAAATGAGATTTAAGTGTATGATGCATGAAAGTAATGCACTTGACACTGCCAGTGTGCTGATACAAATGCAGAGTAATTGTTCGGAAACAAAAAAATGGTTTTTTCAACTTACTTGTATCTGGTAGAATGCTAAAAGCTCTTTTCACACTGCAGTCCTCAGCTATTAAAAATATCTGAATATTATGTTAGGAAAATGTTTATGCCATTGCATTTGCATGTTCAGATGGTATAACCTGAAATATACTCCGTGAATTTGTGGTACTTTTCTTAAAAGATAGGTGAAACACTTCTTATTTATTTATCTTTGTTGCTTTAATGTAGATGCTTATTCTTCAATCTATTAGCATTTGTTGAAACGGGGACATACATAGAAAAAGTTGAACCTTATAAAGAGTTACCTGGATTGGCTTCTGCCAGTTTGAGTCTGGATATAAGTGTTCTATTTCAAGGATTATACCTCATAGTTGTCAGGAAAAGCTGTAGTCGCTACTAAAAACTGTAACTTTCATCTTTTAGGTATCTGGAAAACTTTCAGAGTTAAAAACCACCATTGATGTTGGAATATTGCACTGGAGCAGTGTGGTACAGACTATTGCTAATCAGTTTGAAGAGTGGAACAATTTGGTAAGTTTCACTAGTCCATTAATATTGGAGAGGCTACCCATATACTTGTACCTGCACTTTTTGAATCTTTCTTAGGGAGGGCTGAGACCTCGGTGTTCCTAGAATCCTCTTTGTTACTAGAAATGCTCTCTTCTCAACTTGTATTTTAACTGATGAAGGTCAAGAAAGAAAAATCCATTTACCACACTTTGAATACTCTCAGTTTTGATGTGACGAAAAAGTGCCTTGTGGCTGAAGGCTGGTGTCCTGTCTTTGCTACATGTCAGGTATATTGCCTTATTTCAACATAGATATCTCTCAACTCATGATCGATATACCTTTGACAGACTACTAAATGATTTTGGGTTGCACTTTTTCCAGATCCAGAAGGCTTTGCAACGGGCAACAGTTGACAGTAACTCACAGGTTGGAGCCATATTCGAGGTTCTGCGTGCTAAGGAATCACCACCTACCTATTTCCGCACAAACAAAGTTACAACTGCTTTTCAGGAGATTGTAGATGCTTATGGGTGAGTATCTCTGATATATAGTTGCGGCTATTTCATAGAAATTTTCATGCTGTAGGAAACAAATTCATTTATTTTGGTTGGAGGCTTACAGGAGTTTGAGTAACCACTCGTTTTGCAGCTCTAAGGGTGGTAGTATTGTTGAGTTGAAGTTTGTCTTGCTGTTTGGTTCAAGAAATGAGTGTGACAACTTCCAATCTAGTGTTTTTAAATTTAGCTGTTTCTGAGGCTTGGCCACAATGTTTGGTGTTTGGCCATGAATTGGGGGAAGATTACCATGATCAGTATGTTTATAGTATTATTTTAGGAGTGTTGGCATGTTTGTATAATACCATTTATTCGGTGATTCATATTTCAAACATTAAGAAGTTACTAATTTCTTTTATTTTGTGAGGTACTAAAAATGTAAGGCAATTTATTAGAATGGTTAAGTGAATATCCTCAAGGTTGTTACCGTTTTCTACCCTTTTCAGGGTTGCAAAGTATCAAGAAGCAAATCCTGGTCTATACACAATTGTTACCTTCCCTTTCCTATTTGCGGTCATGTTTGGAGATTGGGGCCATGGTATATGCTTGTTTCTTGGGACACTATTTCTTATCCTGAGGGAAAAGAAATATTCTAGTCAGGTAATTTCTGCTAGATTTCTTGTGGCATTTTCTTGTGGTTTGACTGGACTTCATGTCTAGTGTTACTAGTTTCAGTTAGGCTGCCATAGCAGTCTGATGCAAGTAATATGCATGTGTTCATTGTAGTATTATTTTCAACCTTATGCTGGTATACTTGGTAATGGAAGTTAGAAGAAACTTTATACTGTTGGTTATAACCCAGTTACATCCGAATTTTTTAATCTAAATACAATTGCAAGTATACACCGTGTTCATGAGATGTTTCTCTAATTTAATGATCAAATGCAAATTTGTTAGTCTGTTGCCATCCTGTCTTGCCTATCAGGAAAGAGCAACCTTCAGGAAAAAGGATTTGCATGCCTTAGAAATTATTTTCCTCCTTATTTACCTAGGTTCTTGTGGACAAGGTTTTAATGTAAAAACTTAAGGTCAGAACAACTGTGAAGAAAAAGCGCATAACTAACACTAAATAGCAAAAAATTAGTATTTAGGGATCCCATCTTTTGAAGTTGTATGTGCCTTTTATTTCAATCACAGGTGTAGGTTTGTTCTCCTGTCTTGATTTGCCACCTCGTGGTATATTGTCTTCAGTTCTAACAAGAGTCTATTCTTGTAGTTTTGATGGAAATATTTATGTGGTGCCCTTTTAGAAACTCTACACCAACCTAATCTCTTTTGCTTTCAAAGTGAGACTGGTGATTGCAAATGCTTAAAATTCTGTAAACCAGAAGCTTCTGTTGTATCATTTTTTCAGCGTTGTAATTCCCTTTAGTATTTAAAAGTATGACACGTCAAAAAATTAAAGCCTGCCTACTAGCCATGGTATATGCCTTGGTTATTCCACATGGAGGCTTGAAAATAACACGAACAATTATGAACTTGGAAGGGAATATTCTTTTTGTAATATCTGGATAAGTAACAATTTTGTGAAGCATGAAACATGTTTGTGGATTTAAGGTAACAATTTAATGTGATGTGAGATATAACTTATGAGGAGTAATATTAAGATCCCCGGTAATCTCCACGATAACAGAAATGGCACTAATGTTATTCTTTTTATCAAAGAATATTAGGCAATATTAGTTGACTAAGCAAATTCACAACAAGCCCTATATATCCTTCAATTATTTGTCTGCTATTTATGCGCGCTAAATGAAAATATCTGTCATATTAGTTTACACATTTTCTGTTGTCTATTCATTTGATGATCTTCTTTTGTGGGTAACTAGCAGAAGCTAGGAGACATCATGGAAATGGCATTTGGTGGTCGTTATGTCATCATACTGATGTCAATTTTCTCAATCTACACGGGACTGATATATAATGAGTTCTTCTCTGTGCCATTTGAACTCTTTGGACGCTCCGCCTATGATTGCCGTGATCCTTCCTGCAGGCATGGACTTAGTACAGCAATTTCCATATATCATCTTTCTTTGATTTTCCGCCTTATAACACTTGACTTCACTTTAGGGATGCTACTACTATTGGAATGATTAAGGTGCGGAGCACTTACCCATTTGGTGTGGATCCTATGTGGCATGGAACGCGAAGTGAATTACCATTTCTTAACTCATTGAAGATGAAAATGTCGATATTACTGGGAGTTGCTCAGATGAATCTTGGAATCATTTTGAGCTACTACAATGCAAAGTTTTTCCGAAACGACTTAAACATCTTGTAAGCTACATGTCTGTCATCATTATGCATAGATCTTCGGTGTCATTTTGCATCATTGCATGTAACTCAGCATGCATTTGATTCTGTCTCATATATGTGATTAGATGTGTGCTAATTCTTTTGTTAGAAGAATTTTATCGTTCATATAATCAGCTTTTAAATGTGGATCCTTTTAGGTACCAGTTCATCCCCCAGATGATATTCTTAAACAGTTTGTTTGGCTACCTTTCTCTACTCATCATTGTGAAATGGTGCACTGGTTCTCAAGCTGATCTATACCATATAATGATATACATGTTCCTCAGTCCCACGGACGATTTAGGAGATAATGAGCTTTTTTGGGGCCAGAAATATCTTCAGGTTTTATATTCTCTTATTTGCCAAGATTAATAGCTTCATTGCTGTAAATGAAGTCAAAAAATAATCAAAGTGCGTTATTCTTTCCTACTTCCAGATAATACTACTGTTGCTGGCACTTGTTGCCGTACCATGGATGCTGATCCCAAAGCCACTTCTACTGAAGAAACAACACGAGGAGGTATGCCCAAATTTATTTTCCTCGATTCCTTTGGTTTTTGTTTTAGTCAAGTAATTAATTTTAACTTTTGGCCTTGTTTATCAGAGACACCAAGGCCGAGCGTATGCTCCACTTCACAGCCTTGATGAGAATCTTGAATCAGATATGGATGACAAATCCCATGGTGGACACGAGGAGTTTGAGTTTAGCGAAGTTTTGGTTCATCAACTAATACATACCATTGAGTTTGTTCTTGGTTCGGTGTCAAACACAGCTTCTTACCTACGTCTGTGGGCTCTAAGGTGAGTTACTATGTTAAATTGTGCATGTCCTAGGATCTTTCTTTTGCCTCGTGAATGAATAGTACATCCAATAAGGGATTGCGTAAGTGCCATTTTCATAGATGTAGCTTTTTTTGAGCTTATAAGCTAGCTAGCTTTTTGTGGGCTACTTGAAGTAGCATTTCGACAAGCTCCAGCGCTTTTTTCTGCTTTTTCTAATTATGCCTCTTTATATTTTTCCAATTGATTTTTTAACATATCGTATATCATTTTACATTGTCATCCAACTTATTAACTAGCTTTGAATGTCCAACATTGAAACTTATTTTTTTTCCTTTTGTTTTGTTACCAGTCTAGCACATTCAGAGCTATCCAGTGTATTTTACGAAAAGGTCCTGCTTCTTGCATGGGGGTAAGTTATCACCGTTATTAATACTTCGCCTGTGATTCTAAAAGAGTTAACATTATCTGTACAAGTTCCACTGAAACCTCAACCTCAACCAACTAATCCTGTGAGTGCAGATTCAACAACGTGGTCATACTTATAATCGGCATAATCGTATTCATTTTTGCAACTGTGGGTGTGTTGCTCGTGATGGAAACCTTGAGCGCATTCTTACACGCTCTAAGGCTTCACTGGGTAGAATTCCAGAACAAATTCTACGAGGGAGACGGTTACAAATTCTACCCGTTTTCATTTGCTTTGGTTAATGAAGAAGAAGATTGATATGCAATTTTGAGTTTGATTCTTTGAGATTGGCAAACAAAAGTTAGTAGAAGGTGGGTTTTTTTAGCTTTAGTGCCATGTTCCTCGACGTATTTGTCTAGATTCTTTTGTACGTAGTTGCATTTCTTTACCACAAAATGTAGGTACACAATTGAAGCATCAGATCTTTATTCTTTATTTCATTTGTTGGGAGTTTTAGAACCTCAAATTAAATATGGTTTACGCTTGCAGCTGTCCTCTCTGCAAGTTATAAGTTGTTTGATTGAAAGGGAAGTAGGAGGAGGTGTTTAGGAGTTTGTTTTTAAAGTATGGAACTGATATCTGATAAATCAGTTGTAATAAAGTATGGTATTGAGATAATCCAGAAATTTCATATATGAATTAAGGCACAAATTTGTGTGTGTGTGTATATATATATGTATACATCAGATCATGTTTTATATATTTATATGATTGATCGAAGGTTCGTAGCGATTAAAATGTTAAAACATAATTGTATGATCGTTATAACTATTAACGAATAAGGTTGAAGGCAGTTGCAATTGAATTAGAGGTAACATCCAGCGCTCTGGTTCCAAAGATCGAAGTGTAGTTGTACTAAATCGAAGTCTGGTCGTACTAAACCGAACTTTAGTTGTTCTTAACTCTCATCCAGGCTTAGAATTTTCAACGGTAACTCAGAACTCTGATCAAAAGGACCAGAGATTTGATTACACAGCTTCAGATCTATACATAGTGAAATTTCACTAAATTTGAGAACAATTTCAAGAGATTTGAAGGACTAGAGATATGATTACACTACCACCGCCAAGGGGCTCTACCGTTTGGAACCTCGCTAAGGGCACAATCCTCTTAATCCTCATCTTATGGCAATCTAAGGCGATACAGACAATATATGCAAGTGTGCACTCCACACCTCCTAACTCACTTTGTTTGTCTTATAACCTTAATCGATCTCAAGTAAATCACAATACACCAAAATGGTTGATGACCCTAAAATCACCAACAGTTGTGGATTGCTATGTATGTGATTTGGGGTCATCGAAATAAAGTGGTGCTTTCTAATAGGCCCTTTTCAGAATATGACATGATTTTTGATATTCAGTTATTGTCATCTCAATGAATAGTTGACCATTCAACAAGTTTTAACACATCTTGGGATGATTAGTGTAGTCTTGAATGCTGATTTTGCTCGTTTTTTGTTTTGTTTTTGATCGAGTTTTGGGTGATTCTGTTTCTGCTATAGTTCGTCTGATTTGTGTGTCTTCTGCTGGTTTTGATTCAGTTTTCTGCTTGAGTTTTGGATGGTCCTGTTTCAACCCCATTTCTTCTGATTTGTGGGTCTCAAGTGGGTCCATTGGAGCATTGCCTTCTGGCTTCTGGTCTTGTTTGAGTTGCGTTTAAGAGTCAGGTAAACGACTCTTTAGTGTGTTTTGATTTAGATTTTAACTTCTTGAAACAATCCCATTTTGATATTTAAAATGAACTTTATTTTGTTTGTGCATCGACCCCGTGTTTGATTTGTTTGTGTTAAGGTTGTTTTGGTGGTGGATGGTGTATGTTGGTGGCTGGAAGATGGTGGCATTGGTGGTGAACCGGTGATAAAAAAAAATTAAGAAAACTACTAGTAATCCACAAGAGTGTCGTGTCGTGTCATTGCTACATCATGTTTGAAGGATAAAATGACCATTTTACCCTCATGTACAAGATAGATGGGGGAATTAACGATTGAAAAGTAATATACGTTAGTAGAAGGGACCAAAATCATACACTTTTGTATACCATAGAGGTTTTCTTGCAATAAAAATTTTATAGGGACCTAATCCAAGAAAAAGAATAAATCATAGGTACCAAAAATGCAATTTACCTTATTTATTTATTTATTTATTAAAATCATAATTAAAAAACAAAAAACTATAAAAGTGTTGAATGAAGTTGTTCACTTTGAAAGAAATATGTAATATATTATATTATAATCTATGGTCAGAGGTGGAACTATTAAGGACCGAACAGGGTCCTGTGCTCCTGTTCACTTGATTATCATAAAGAAAAAAGTTAAGATGTCTTGAAAGTGCACCCGTTTGATTTGAGGGTGTCCTGACATATTTTAAAACCAAGTTTATAACATAAATCCAGATTTGGTGAGATGGTCTAAGCTGGCTGAATTAAAGGCTGTTATATAGGAGGTCTTAGGTTTAATCCTCATTTGTAAGCATATATTTAGTTTTTTGGTTCACAAACTATCTCCAAACGTATACAATTTTCCTCTTGGTTCGTTTATATTCTGTAATTTGCTTTTAGTTATTGATTTGATTATTGTTACGCAAAATCCTAGATGCATAAGGAAGCGGAATAAGCTGTATAGCTGATTTTGATTTGCAGAACATCCTATCTACATGCATAAAGAAATGAAATTGAAAACCTAGAAGGTAAAAAACAGAGGACGATCAGTATCAAATACTAACGATCACAATATTTTATGAAATCAACAAAAAAAAAACCAAAAAAGTTTCTCGTAATGGTGGGATTTAGCTACAACCACGTTAGATGTAAGACGTACTCCTGTGTTTTGCTCAAAAAGTCAATATCGATTCAATTTGAAAAAAAAATGTATTATTCCTGAAATCAACATGATTGACTTTCCCTTGGGTCAAACCGTGTTGACTTTTCCCTCTGATAAAACTTGGTACTTGGCGGGCCTTTGATCCACCTTAACCCTTCTATTTTGTAAAAACGTGAGAACAGTTGTAGGCCTTCAACTTTTAACCAACATTTTATATTTTATTAAATAAAAATATATCAATAAGGGTAGTAACATAATTATTTATTTTTCATAATTATTATATTATTTTAATTAATTGTAATTATCCCATGATTTTCGATCAGAATCTGATTACGTCTCGATTGTTTATTATAATACCAGAACTGATCCATATGGTAATCCAACTATGACAATTGTGATAACAATGATGCGATACACTATTATCGAGCCTTAATCAATAGCAGACCATCTTCGAGCCATAATCGAAGTGTGATAGTTATATGATTTGTGTTCCATATGTGTTTGTCTTCTTCCTCGACGCCTCCAAAGCCTACCATCTGCTTTATGTCGCCCTAAATCGTTCACTAACTGTGACTTCTTCGTTTTCGATTTACCCTAATATTGGCCCTACTATCGTTGTTGTGTAACCACCGTCGACGATGATTATCATTTCCCGGATGATCGGAATAATCCTGATCATGTTATTTGAATTTTAGCATTTCAATTTCCAATATTACCCTCACAAGTCTTTAATATTTTTGAAAACTTTTTAATATTAATTTAAAATTTAAAAATCCTTAAATTCTCTTAAAATGTGATTTAAAATACAAAGCTTGGCTTAGAGGATGTGTTCAAACGAGAACACCCTTGTTTTAAAACACGAGAACATTTATGAGCTTTCAAATTATTTAACTCATAATTAAAAATAAAAAAATAAAGTAAATAATTAAGGATAATCATGTGATTTTATATTTAGCTCTAATCTTGGTAACTAACATCATCCCTAAAATCATGTATAGATAATATACTCAGCGATCACAATGTATCAAAGTAAAATTGCATTATTATCACAAACAAAATCACATAATGAACAAACGGAGTGATGATTGTGGATGTGACCATCACCGATTTTCGATCATCACAACATTATCATAACCATTAATAGCAAAATCACATAATTGTCGGTTCATTATCATATAACAATGACACCATAAGAAGTCTCTGATTTACCAAAACATTATCACATTATTATCATAGCAGAATCATATCATTATCACATTATTATCGACAACAGAGACATCAATATAAGAAATCTCCTATAATACTAACAACATTTAAGGGATAATAGAAAATTGTTGATAAATACTAATTTATTTCATTTTATTCTAAATTTTAATATGGGTGTTCCTGTTTGAACACAGGGTGTTCCTGTTTGAACCCCTAACACACACACACACACATGTGGGGATATTCATATAAAAATGATAACTTAATAAAAAATAAAATAAAAGAGTAATTCTAGACCAATCATTTATTTGAATCATGTCTTAAATAAAATTATCTTTAAAAATCGCTCAAATATTCAACTTGATTAAGTCAACATGACAACATCCAATCGAAGTAAATAGAAATGCAGTCACCTTTTAGGATTTTGATTTAGGAGTTTGATGTTGTTTAGGGTATCATCAATGGCAACTTGAACTTTTTCAGGGGGTTTTGAAATGGTTTAGAGTTTGATTTAATTTTTTTGTATCTTGATGGTTTATTTTAGGGTTTATGCTCTTCATTTTTAAGTGGAGGAGATGAAGATTAAAGAAATAAAAACTTTTATTGAAATAGATGAAATGGTAAAAAAGACAATTTTACCCTTTAGACTAATGGACATCATTAACAGCCATTTGGTCAAGGGACCAAATCCGTGAAAATAAGGCATACCACCAGTCAGTGTTATACGTAATAAATGAAGTCTAAGAATCGTATTGGTATAAACTTGCATACCACAAGGACCAGATCCGTAATTTACTCTATGTATAATAATATATTTTATATAAGGTTATGTTTACAATATGATAATAATTGTAACAAGTTTAAAAGCGGTCAACGGACTACCAACATGCCTTTGTCTAATAACAACAACTGGTGAGAGATGGTGATGGGAGGTCGATGGTAGCCGCTGGGATGGGGAAGCAATGACATATTGGTGCTCAAGGTAAGTATATGAAAACAAAAGGTTGTGCGTGTGGCTGATATAGATGGGGGAAATGACACTATATGCATCATCATGATTAAAACCTTAACATATTATCTATGCTGTTAAAATCGCGATATATCGCCTATATATCAGATATCAGACTCTAGAAAAATATCGGTCAAACCGATATTTTGATGGAAAAACCGGTCTGATATACCGATTTTCTATAAAACAAATGTTTGGGTTTTTTTATTACATGTCGAGCTTAGTTTTTTGGGCCTATTTATTTGGTCAACCAGTCAACACATATATTAAGTCTTTCGCTTTTTCTCTTCTCAGTTCACGCTTCTTCTCTTCTCGGTTCTTTCATAGTTCACGCTTATTGTTTGTGATTAGCTCGTTTTTGAACACATTTTCCTATTTTGTTTTGTGAGACTTGTTTATGAGATGTTTTAGTTTTCAAACTATATTTCTAAACTCTAATTAATGCATATGATATGTTTATGGATGCATACATAATATATATATATATATATATATATATATATATATAATTCTAAGAAATATTATATTAACTGCTATTTTGGACCGATATATCATCGATATAACTGAAATATTGAATATCGGTCCTGACCGATATTTTGTATTTTGACCGCAGTAACAATATAACATATTATTATGTGCATGAAAGTAGGTGAATACACATGAAGGTTCAGATTCCTTGTGATCATGCCAATAGAAAGGAGCAAACTACAATTTTTAATCCCAGTGATTTGTAGGAAATTACAGATACCATCCCTATGGTTTCTTTAGTACATTGGCAGTCTGTGTAATTCGCAAATCCTTATAGATTTGATATATATAACTAACACTATAAATTTTTTCTATTAAACACATATCACATGAGGGCATTTTAGTAATTTACAAAAATAAAAAAAAGGAACCTCCTATCCCCTCCTCCATCGTCTTCTTACCAAGACCACCAAGCCCTCAATATTCTCCGTCACACCAACCACTATCTCTTTCCCTTCCCTACACCTCTTCGTCGACCACTGGCCCAACCCCAACTCTTTCTTCCCGTATTCCTAGTCACCATTGAGCACCAACCATCTACCACTGCTCTACCATCTAACCACCACCATTGTGCTCTCACAAGTTGTTCTTAGATAAAGACGGGATGCCAGTCCGTCAACCACTTATAGATATGGTTTCCATGTTGATTTCAAAGAAAATTATGCTGGGGTGAGTTCATTAGGGGGAGGTCCACTTGATCTGTATGATCCATAATTTCGTAAATTTATTTATTTACTTTTTCAGAGCAACGATGAAAATTATTTCATCGATAATCACCTATGCTTTAGAGTCATTCTCACAAGGATGTTGAGATCAATTATGCTCGAGTTGTTCGGTTTGAAGTTACTCCAAACACGTATTTGTCTCATCAGGGAATGTTTTTGACGATGGTGATTGGTGGTGTCTTGGGGGAAATGTGGTATAATACCCGAAGGGATTTAACTGAGCTTTGCTAACGGCCGTTTATGAGAGGGACCAAATCTGTAATGTTTTGCAAAGTAAATATGTGAATGTTCGTTGAAAGTTTTTGTTTGGAGTCGCAGCAGTTTCTTGAGCAGACATCATCAAACTCTCTCTCTCTGTATATACCGTTTTCATTTAAGAGACAGAGACAGAGACAGAGACCATAGGCAAAAACGAGAGAAACCTCAACTGACTAAGAAGAGCATCATTATCTAAATTAATGGAGGATGAGCAGAAGAACACGGACCTGGAAACTGCTAGAGCAGACAGATCTGTGTGGCTTATGAAGTGCCCTGTGGTAGTCGCTAAATCATGGCAATCTGTCCCCGCCGACTCTCAACAAAATCTCTCTAAGGTCGTCGTTTCCCTCGATCCTCTTCATCCCGAAGATCCTTCTTCTCTTCAGGTATGTTTATGTACATATTAAGTGATGCCTGTTTGGTTAACGTTTTGCTTCGATCGGTGCTCGACAATTCGTTATAGGTTTTGAGGTTTATGCGTAGTTGAAATGGGTTCGTAATTAGATGTCTAGTTATAGAAGTGGGTGATTTCGATGTTCTTCAATTCCTGTTACATCCTACTGGTATGTGCTTGTATGCAGTTGTACTTGTGGAACCCTAGTTTTGTGTATTGTTTGCATTTTTGGAAATTGTTGGTATGTGCTGGTTTACAGTTGTACTTGTGGAACCCTAGNAACCCTAGTTTTGTGTATTGTTTGCATTTTTGGAAATTGTTGGTATGTGCTGGTTTACAGTTGTACTTGTGGAACCCTAGTTTTGTGTATTGTTTACATTTTTGGAAGTTGTGCTTTCAAGGTTGGTGCATTTAGCCCAAATAACGGATTTGACTGAATCGATTTTCCCACTGGAGCTTTTTGTGTTTGTTAATTTTCAGTCCTAAGATGTTTTTCTTTGTTACTAATAGGAAGGTAATCAGAAGGGAGGCGTGGAACTCTCTATGAGAAAGTGCCCTTTGATGAAGTATGGCTTCACTTGTTTGTCTTTCTCTTATCCATGATCTGCTCTGTAGGTATCTGATAATAGATGAGCTTTTAGGTTTAATAGCATGTTACTAACTTGGGTTCTAACTGGGATAAGCACTTGTCTGAATCCAACTATCCGGGATCTTGAATCTCGGGGATCATGTATTTGGGGGGGGGGGTTGAGACCTAATTTTTATTCTATGTTGCAAGGATATAGGTGCATAAAACGTGGATATCAGGATTTGGAGATTTTGAAAATAAAGAATAGTGTGTCATGTGTGTATATACAAGTATAAAGATCAAATTAATCGAAGAAGAAAGTTATTTCACAGTTCATCCATTTACTATGTGAGATAAATTCACGTTAAAATCTGAATCTTATCTTGCTGTCATATTTACTTAGTGTGCCTATACCAGTCCAACTTGTCATCAGAGGTAACTTTTTGTCTTGTTTTTCCTCTTTATCATAAACTTAATTTTCTTATTTTAGTCTTCGTTTCCAATGTTGGAAATGTGAATATTCATCTCTTCTTTTACCAAAAGGACCAAAAGTTCTCCTGTCGCTATTCTTGTATATCTGTGAATTGGTCAATAACTCGGGGATATGGTGTGCCCCACATGGGGTGGCTCCCCCTGCCACACCCCCTAAGAATTGCATGCCTAAAGCACTCAATACGGGGTTCGGTGGGTGGTGAAGCCCTCCCACTTCCTAGATGTTAGTTGTTAACACCTTCAGGCATGGTGCCATATGAATACTGATATTTATTTGCTAGTCGCAAGTTTTTGCACGGCACTAATATGCTGTAATGTAGGTTGGTTTCTCAAGCAACTAAGTACATGTATAATTGTACTAGTGGTATACCCGCGCGATGCAGCGCGGGTGAATCACAATTCTGAAACATTAATTTATCATTGAATTATAAGTTTGTGTGGTTATTTTGCAAGTCAACTAATATATAAAGTTGAAGATTAATACGGTGTATTAACAAGATTGAATGGAAAAATAATTGCACACGTATTGGGTTTCTAAACTCATATACTCAGAACTCATTACAAAAATTTGAATTTAAATTTAGTTAAAGTCTGAGAAAACCTCCAAAAGCTGAGACCATGAAACATTTTTGGGAGACTTTCGGTTTGGGTGATATTGATGGTGTTGTATTAAAAACTTGTAGATCATGCTTTATGAGTTGAAATTAAGAGATTTTTGAAATTTTTGCATAAAATGATTGTACCTTATGCTTAAATACTTGTACTTAAGACTTTGGTTAAAATGTTTATTAATGTGGTATAGATAGATATATGATTTGTAATATATAATTTTGCATTTATATGCAATTTCTGGGTACAGTACGGATCGCCCCCGGGGGTGATCCGTGTGGTCATTTCGGTAAAACCTCTAAAATGTGGTTATTTTATGGCATAAAGTTGTGTAAACCGGTTATTTTTATAAATACTTCTTTTTTAAACTCTTTATTGCAACCCCATCCTTGTTAAACATAATCCGTATGTACTAAAAGTATCATAAAAAGTTCCAAGATCTTATTATGTGGTCACCAAGTATGTATGCTTAAAGTGCAGAAAATCTTGATTAGGGTTACAAACTATTATATTGTAGAGTTATGTTTGTGTGTAGGATGGGACAAGAATAGCATCTATCAAGATTTGACTTGGATATTTAAAGAATGAAACTTGCACCCTTACCCTTTATTTTATGTCAACTTAATTGTATTTTTACCTACTAATTTTCTTCTTACATTCCTCCTTGTACATATCAATATAAGAATTTACTTTTTTACATTTTTCAATGCAATAAAATTAGTTTTATAGGACGTCGAAAATGTCTAAACATCCTAATAAAATACTTTATAAGACTTAAATTTATATGAACAAAYCAAAAAACATCTTATCTAAAAATGTTACAATAGATTTATAGACACTTTAAAGTGTTTTAACAAGTTTTTTTACWATGTTTCACAAATAAAATATGGTATTACCTATTTTATGACAATATTTGAAAAAATGTTCTATATAAAGATGGGTTTGTTGGACATTTGTCAAAAGTGTCCTATAAAATAATAGAACATTTTATTTTAAAAACATCCTAAAAKAATTGTTAAGATGCCTAAAGGTGTCCTATAAACTWATTATAACGCTTTTAGATGAGATGATTTATAGTTCGGTTATGTAAACTTATGCAATTACTGTAGTGTTTAATGTATGATTTAGTCTGATTCTGATATAAATACATATACAACACCTTTTCTTTTTCCCATGAAGAAGTTATAAATTTTGATTCTTAACCCCACTCCTTCTATCCATCTATGCTTCATTAATTGCATCCATGTTTTCTTTCTTTATTACTCACTTCTTTGAGGGATATTTGTGRTTATGTTTGATTTCTTKAGTTTTAAACCTTCCAAAAGAGTTCCACAGAGTTGGCAATGGATGTTATAAAAGAGGGTCTGTTTAAAACTGCAAGAGTTGGAGAGAGAGAGAGAGTAACTAAGTTAGATTATCTTCACAAAAAGTAAAAAGACAAAACATATGTCAATGTCTATATGGGTCTATAATTTTGACTGACAAATCAACACAAATCAACACAATACTTGCAGGGCCATACCCTCTACCCCCCTCTCCTCCATATATTCAAATGCTTCAATATAAATAGATATATATACACACACACATAAAAAAAAATATATATATATATATATATATATATATCCTCTTTTAGTTTCTATAATATCATCAAAAAAATGTATTTTTATGTTTTCTGTTTTTTCACTTGTGGGTAGCAAAAATGGGAAAATAATAAAGATTAGGGTTGCATGAATTTTTTGCATGACAAAGTTGTCAATGGAGACGGATTTTCCGGTAAGAATAATTTGGTGTTTTTGGAAAAGGTGAGAGATATGGGAGAAAAGAAAAAGAAAACCGTGTACTGTGAAGGATGGTGGGGAAGAAGCCACATCTACCCAAATTCTTTTTTTATTGTAGTAATTATGAACCTAAATCCACCCAAACAATGGCCATTGAAGGTGTTCTTCATAGAAAACAAACAGAGATTTAGAAGAGATGTCGTTGTGGTTGTCATCTTCATCGTCACTCTTCTCCAAGTCTTTCAATGGCAACACCAAACTTCCTGCTTCAGAGCTGCTGCCAATGTTCCAGACTTTTACGTTCCGTATTTCAAYAGAAAGTTCAYCTTCAAGCCATAAACAATGGAAGGAAAATTAGTTGAAAGACCTAACGTGAAAAAAAAATATCTTACCTGGAGAAAGCCATACAGCTCACTAACTCAGATTCCACTCGAACACACCGATTGATTACAACGAACAGAACCATCGATTGATTACAACGAACAGAACCATCGATTGATTACCTGTAGAAGAACAGAACTATCGTTGGGATCAAACATAGCTGTGGCTTTTCTTTCCAAAGAGCAACAGATCGATGAGACGACCGAGCAAGAGATCGAGCAAGGTTGGGTCAGCCGAGATAGAGACGACCGGAGTTGGAGCTATGGGGTGCCGACGATGAAGGCGACCAAAGTTGGAGTTGTGCCGATGGACATGCCACATCCCCCCAAATTCTTCTTCTGGTGAGAAATCAGAGAAATCAGGATCAAGCAAAGACGATTCGTTCACGGTCATCGATTGATTACAACAAACCAAGAAACCGAATCCGTTTCGATCATCTCTGGACGGTGCTGTGGACTCTTGCAGTCGGAATCCATCTTGAAATCACAAAGCTGAGAAAGTGAAGCGAGGGAAGATGAGGAATTGTGGTGGAGGAGAGCAAGATGGAGAATGGAGAGACGTGGAGGAGATGACCATGCTTTTGAAGCTTTGATTTTGAATTTTGAATTTGAAATGGAAAAGCAAAAGTTGAAGARAGTGAAGACTCTGATGGAAAGTTTGGAAAGAGGAAAGGAAAGCTTGGAAAGGAAAGCTTGGAAAGCTAAGCTAGAAAGGAAAGCTGGAAAGGGAATGGTTGTACTTAATGCATAAAATGTTTGTACCTCATGTTTGAAGAGTTGTACTTAAGAGTTTTTTGAAAATCTTGCACAAAATAGTTGTAAGTTGTGCATAAAAAGTTGTATTTAAGACTTTGTCTTAAATGGTTATATATATAGTATAGATGATCATGCTACAGTGGTAATTAGAAAGGTTTATCAGATTACTTATGGGAAGTGATTTCATAATTAGTGAAATTTGAGCCATCTTTCTGTGTATGTTTCTATCTTTAGGGCTTGTTAAAAAGTTATGACTTAATTCTTTTATATTCTTCCTTTTCTACAAACAGTTCTCAATGGAGATGGCTGGCAGTGAGATTGCAAATATGCCGAAGAGCTACTCTTTAAATATGTTCAAGGATTTTGTTCCCATGTGCATTTTCTCTGAAGCAAACCAAGGTAAGGGTCTTAGTTCTTTTTACCCACTTGAATTCAATTGTGTAATCTTCTTCTCGTGGGAATGTTGGTGCAAGGCTTTTAGTCTGGATTCTTGGATCTATCCTGCTCATTGCGAATAAAATGAATTCAAAATTTGTTGGGACTTCTGTTTTATTAAGGTGATACTTTTAGAGGTGTTGTTAATGTGTGGCCACTGGCTAGGTAAATGAGTTGAATCATGTAAATGGTATGAAACCGAATTGGTATTATATAAGGTGTAATTACAAGACTAGATGAGCCCTCTATTTATAGGTGTTAGTTGTAAATAGCTATAGCTTAGGGATCTGTATGTAATTTATTATTGCTTATTAGTCCCTCTCTAATCCTATAAATAGAGGGCTCATCTAGTCTTGTAATTACACCTTATATAATACCAATTCGGTTTCATACCATTTACATGGTATCAGAGCTAAAGGTCTCTTAGCTCACGAACATCCTTCGGGTGACCATTTCCGGCCAAAATTCCGGTCACCACCACCCCATCACAATCTGTCCCGTATGTTCAGATCTGGTCCCATTTTCTTCAGATCTGATCACGTTTTCTTCAGATCTGGCCGCACATTTCACTATTCATTACTGTTCACAGCCGACTATTTCCCAGATCCTAACCAAATTCCGGCGAGCTACACTACAACGACACCACCATTGCACTCGTCATCGCCCGATCTACAAAACCCCTCAAACCTCACTGCCAACCAACGCCTCACGCGCCCCCACGCGCCGCCGAATCTCAACCCACGCTCCTCCTTCTTCCCGCGCGTGACAGCCCCTCCGGCCACCATTCCGACTGATCTCATTCGGTTAGTTTTTCGATTTGAACTCCTTTTATTTTCTGCCTCGGTTTACGTGTCCGTATACCAGTACAATCTTCCGTCGTTTCTTTTTGGATACCATCGTTTTCAATGGGAGATACGAAAAGTACTGTGGAAAATCAGATTGCATCGGGTATTATCAACTATACCTCGGTTTTGCGCCTTCCTGTCAAGCTGGACTCTAGTAACTGGAGTTCATGGAGCCTCTTTGTTCTAAAGGGTCTTGAAAGTGTGGACAAAGAGGACCATCTGACAAAARCACCACCTGTTCCGCTTTCCCGAGAATGGCGTATTGACGACAGTGAGATACAAATGGCTTTGTGGAATTCCATGGAGCCACAAATCCTCACAATCGCTCAGAACTTTTCTACAGTAAAAGAGATGTGGGATCACCTGTCCTCGTCATTCTCAGCCAAGGAATCATTGTCTCATGCTTATTCTGTTGTCCAAGCCTTTACTAGGGCTGAACAAGGTGACTCCACTTTCACCGATTACTTTACTCGGTTCTCAAAACTTCAAGATGAGTTGCGCACCCTTTTCCCACCGACTGCTGATTTACAAGTTCAGGAGGAGCGTACCACCAAGATGAATGTCATGATGTTCATTGCTGGATTATCGCCTAAGTATGCCAGTGCACGTCCATTGCTGCTAAGTAACTCAACTGCTATTTCATCCGTGGCATCTACATATCATCTTCTGCGGGAGATGTATGGTCCGGATGCATCTCCAACAGATGTATCCGCCTTGGTCAGTAAGGGTGCAGGGCCTAGCTCATATCAAAAGAAAGGCAATGTACGAGGTAATGGAGGACAAGGTAGTAATCTTGTATGTCATCTATGTCATGAACCTGGACATGCAAGGTACAACTGCCTGAACAACTGCCATTATTGTAAGCTGCCAGGACATAAAAGTACAATTGCCCAAACCGTACAACTGATCCGTCCCCAGTTCCACCACCAGACACTGCACCTTTCTCCCCATTGCCAGAAACATATAGTTATGATCCTCCCGATGCACCGTATCCTGATGTACCCATTGCCTTTCGACAGGAACCTAGACATGCCACCCGTTATCCCATCCAGGATTATGTTGCTTATGCACACCTCTCCTCCGCATCTCATGCCTTCACTACTTCCCTAGATTCCTATCCGATTCCCAAAAATGTGATGACAGCTCTTGCTCACCCAGGATGGCGTCAAGCTATGGAAGAAGAAATTGGGGCTTTACGAGGTAATCATACATGGGACCTTTCACCACTTCCGCCTACTAAGCGTGTTGTTGGTTGTCGTTGGTTGTCGTTGGGTCTTCATCCGGACCATACATCTCCCGCAGAAGATGATATGTAGATGCCACGGATGAAATAGCAGTTGAGTTACTTAGCAGCAATGGACGTGCACTGGCATACTTAGGCGATAATCCAGCAATGAACATCATGACATTCATCTTGGTGGTACGCTCCTCCTGAACTTGTAAATCAGCAGTCGGTGGGAAAAGGGTGCGCAACTCATCTTGAAGTTTTGAGAACCGAGTAAAGTAATCGGTGAAAGTGGAGTCACCTTGTTCAGCCCTAGTAAAGGCTTGGACAACAGAATAAGCATGAGACAATGATTCCTTGGCTGAGAATGACGAGGACAGGTGATCCCACATCTCTTTTACTGTAGAAAAGTTTTGAGCGATTGTGAGGATTTGTGGCTCCATGGAATTCCACAAAGCCATTTGTATCCCACTGTCGTCAATACGCCATTCTCGGGAAAGCGGAACAGGTGGTGTTTTTGTCAGATGGTCCTCTTTGTCCACACTTTCAAGACCCTTTAGAACAAAGAGGCTCCATGAACTCCAGTTACTAGAGTCYAGCTTGACAGGAAGGCGCAAAACYGAGGTATAGTTGATAATACCCGATGCAATCTGATTTTCCACAGTACTTTTCGTATCTCCCATTGAAAACGATGGTATCCRAAAAGAAACGACTGAAGATTGTACTGGTATACGGACACGTAAACCGAGGCAGAAAATAAAAGGAGTTCAAATCGAAAAACTAACCGAATGAGATCAGTCGGAATGGTGGCCGGAGGGGCTGTCACGCGCGGGAAGGAGGCGCGTGGGTTGAGATTCGGCGGCGCGTGGGGGCGCGTGAGGCGTTGGTTGGCAGTGAGGTTTGAGGGGTTTTGTAGATCGGGCGATGACGAGTGCAATGGTGGTGTCGTTGTAGTGTAGCTCGCCGGAATTTGGTCGGGATCTGGGAAATAGTCGGCTGTGAACAGTAATGAATAGTGAAATGTGAGGCCAGATCTGAAGAAAACGTGATCAAATCTGAAGAAAATGGGACCAGATCTGAACGTACGGGACAGATTGTGATGGGGTGGTGGTGACCGGAATTTTGGCCGGAAATGGTCACCCGAAGGATGTTCGTGAGCTAAGAGACCTTTAGCTCTGATACCATGTAAATGGTATGAAACCGAATTGGTATTATATAAGGTGTAATTACAAGACTAGATGAGCCCTCTATTTATAGGATTAGAGAGGGACTAATAAGCAATAATAAATTACATACAGATCTATAGCTATTTACAACTAACAAATCATGTATAAAGGTAACTAATTGAGGAGTCTTTTAAAATAATTAATTACTTAAAGATTTTTACATGTTAGATGGTATGCTTCGTTCATTGACGAGAATTACTTAAAAATCACAAAACAAACTACTAGTAGGTACTTTATGTTAAATACATATTACTTCACTCTGTCTCGGAATAAGTGTCCACATTTCTTATTTAGTTTGTCCTGAAGTGTAAGTGTCCACATTTCTTATTTAGTTTGTCCACAACAAGTGTCCACATTTCTAGTTTGTCCTAAAATAAGTGTCCACTTTCAAAAGTAAGTGTCTATTTGCAATTATTTTTACTCCCTTATCGTTAAGGGTAAACATTGTCAATTGAGAAGTATGATGATTTTTCATTGTGGACAATTATTTTGGGACGGAGAGAGTACTTTTGTTGTAATTCTATGTATCTTTGACATTCAAAATGTATTTAGTAATGCCTCATGATCCATTAGAAAATAATATAATCATGTCTAGTCGACCTCTCTAGAAAATGCTTGTACCATCTTTGCATATACCACAATAGACAGCACTATCCACAATACCACAATAGACACCACTATCCACAATAATCTTAAGTTGTGTCCATCCATGCATCATGATTTGCACAGTTTCTTGAAGTCAGGCCATCATCAATGATGAAAGTCTGTATTGGATGTCAATGTTTCATGAATTTCTCATCTGTTCGGACTCAGAGTCTCAAATTGAAATTAGTATTCCTTTATGCATTGAATATTGTTACAGGGAATCTATTAACTCATGTTAATATTGTCTACCTGTGTCTTCCCCCCCCCCCCCCCTTCCCAACGTATGCTATGCATTGTTCTAATAATTGTTCTTTGATAGAACTAATGCTTCTGCGAGTGCGTCTTAGGAAAAGTTGCTATGGAAGGGAAAGTTGAACACAAGTTTGACATGACACCCCAGAATAAGAACATGGAGGAGTACAGAAAGATGTGCCGTGAACGAACAAATAAGTCCATGGTCAAGAATAGACAGATACAGGTCTTGATTCTTTCTTTATATCACTCAGCTACCGTTATCTAGTTAATGTTTGAAGTTCTGAGGGAACATGATGTTTTGTTTGTTCTACAGGTGATTGATAATGACCGAGGTGTGCATATGAGGCCCATGCCTGGAATGATTGGCTTGATTTCGTCTAATCCTAAGGTAATCACATCCCCAATATATGATGGATTTAATTAACCTGCACTTTGTTAGTACCTGAATACTTCCATGCATCATTTGAGAGAATGAGTCAAAGATTGTGGAGGTGATTTTTCTTCTTTTCTTTTTCTTGTTTATTTGTCACCTTTCCTTTCTCCCATTTAAAGTTGGATACAGATTTTGGGGTTGGGGGGAATTGAAAAACTCAAAAGATTCGTAAATGGTTAAAATAGCTAAATCCAAAACCAAATATGGGTTCATGCAAAACCAAAGGATTAACTGGGTAAGAGAGAAATAGTGATTATAGACTGGACACAAAGAACCCTCTTCTTCTTTTAATTTTTAAAATAGATTAACTTCTTGTATATTATTTATTTGATAGTACATTTTGCTGAACTTCTGCCACAAGAGAGAGGTGTTTTTCGAACTCACCTTCTGTTGGACATTGAAACAGGCAATGTATATGGGGATTTTCTTGATGTAAAACTTCATTATTATTTGTTGCTTTAACTATAATAAATCGACATTCTATTAACAAAAACGTGCCACAAATGAGAAAAACCTTCTCATTATGGGTTACACAGAAATTATCTACTGTACAAACGCCCAAAAGTAACTGCATTAACACATAAGATCCCTGCTGCAATATAATTGAGATTTCAATACTCTTTTTATGACTTCGTATTTTGATTTTAAATTTTTTTAAATTCCAAGATTTTGCATCACATGCTCTACAAGGAATAAAAGACACTCTTATTAGTAAAGATCTTGACTTGTGGCTTGTACAAATGAGGACTCCATTTTAAGTCAAATTAACTTGTGTTTCTTATGTGCATCAGGTGTAACGGTGTAAATTACTTTATCTAATATATGCGGTTTTATATGGTCTCTCCCTATATATATGTATCTCCAACATAGTCGTTGTGTGTAGAGCTAAGAATTAATTTGTTTTTCTTTTTCTTTTTTAATGTGTGTTTCTACATCCAGGAAAAGAAGAAAGCAGCTCCAGTTAAGGCGCCTGAAGTTAAGAGAACTAGGAGGGATCGTGGAGAACTGGAACACATCATGTTTAAGCTTTTTGAAAGACAGCCTAATTGGGCTCTAAAGCAGTTGGTCATAGAGACCGACCAGCCCGCGGTATGTTCTTTGACTTTCTTTTCTACCTTTTTGGTAACCGTGGTTTTTGGGCCAGCATACACCCACCGACTAATCCCTATGACGACCATGAATCATTGTCAGTGCAACCATGGGTTTTTCTTTTCTACTTTCTTTCTGGTTTTGGTTGTTTTGTTTATCGGTTTTCATTAATTCGAATATTCACATTGCAGCAATTCTTGAAAGAGATATTGAACGATCTGTGTGTTTACAATAAACGGGGAACGAATCAAGGAACATATGAGCTGAAGCCAGAATATAAGAAATCCATGGAGGATACAACTGCTGAAGAATAAACACAAAGATGGTGATAGGTGAAAATGAGCCAAGAGACATGTTTACTAACCAACACCAAAATTCTAATTGGCATATGTTATTATATCATGTATTGTGATTTCATACTTTGGGTTTTGTTCCTGTAACAATAAGTCTTTGTATGGTTCTTTCCAAATATATGGGTTTTCCTGTATGAAACTATTAAGAAGTAAACAAACAACCCCTTATACTGTGTTTGTTTGGTGGCTTATTTTGTGCAACCTTTTTTATGAATTATGGTGTTGGGTATGTTGGTATCTCTAAGTAGATGAATCTGTTCAAGAAAACTATGAATATACAAGTTCTAATCATCTAAGCTTCAATCGCTTCATATATTTTTGTCTTTGCAATTTTTATTAATCAACTTGAGACAAAATGACAGATTGTACACCAACTTTCAAATCCAATGTATTATGTCATGGACTCGGAACAACTGTTTAGTGTTTGATAGGACAGAATTGGACTGAACAAAACAAGCAACATGACCAATTTACCCTAATGAGTTGTTATATATTTAGATTTATTAATGCAATTTATTAATTATAATAAAATAATTATTTTTATAACAAAATATATGATTAGAAAGTTTTCGTCAAAACAATTAAAATGACATCAAAATAAAAAATTTATGTAGATTCCAATTTTAATTTTCTCTCTTTTTTACATTATTTTTTATTATTAATATATAGTAAATTACATAATTAATAAAAATATGGAAACCATATAAAAATAATATTTTGAGGACAGTAAACTGAAAGTTTAAAAAACATAAAATACAATAAAATTTAAAGAATTGATAAAATGTAAAAAAAAAGACCTATTTGATGTTTTAGAAGATGATTAAGTTTTATTTTGAAGTTATATTGATAAAATATAAGTCATTTTCATGTTGTTCCTCCCTCTTCCATTT